TTTGCCCTTTCAAATATCACCCTTACTATGATCTAAATTACATAGATTTTTGAATAATGTTTTTCAGGTTCTTTTTTTAGGTGGTAGTTCATTATAAGTTACATATTTTTCGTATTTATTTCAAGTTTCAAACTACTACATCTCATATTACAATTTACAATTTGTATTTTACAGCCGCGACTTCTTGGAGCCATTTCTGAATTTGTTTCATGGTATAAGCATTCGTTTAGACGTATCATACCCCGAAAACTCAGGTATTACTTTCTTAATCATCCTTTATTACAATGAGATTTAACACTTATTTTACGATTTAGCTCTTACCTTAATCTTAGACAAACTGTTAATTATTCATCTAGATTCGAGTATTGTGCATACCTTATTTTTTGATATTTTTTGTATTAATTGGCGTATTTATATGAAGTCTCTACCCGGTCGTCATTCCTTCTCAAAAAGCGACATTAAAAAAGCTTATCTCAATTTAATCCGATACCAAGATGATGTAGCACATATTTTGATATCGGTCTTCCTTCCATGTATAAAGTGGTTTCACCTTGTTTTCGCAGCCAGATCATGGTTGCAGGGGGCTAAGATGAACTCATCTTGTCCGGAGTACTCTGCCATAGTAGTTTATAGTTTACAGTCATGCTGGACAAGGTGCAATTAGCTGTCGCTTTACAGAGCGACCAAATCGCGGAAATAAGGTCAGACCACTTTCACTTCATTTAAGTTTGAAATTCCATCTTTCGGCCATTTGATTCTTTGGTATTATTTAAATATCCATTTGTCAGATTTTGCTGGTTCGGTTTTCAATTTTTTTAGGCTTTACTTCCTAAGTACGAAGGAAATTATGGTTTAAAGAAACCTTTGGGTTTACAATTGTTGAGCTTAATTCCATTGAAAATTAGCAAATATGATGAAACGATTCGAGGATTGATTCCACCAAAAGGCGACGACTGATTTTACTTTGCCAGCTCTTGGTTGGGTTCATTAAAACATTCTTGATAACGCTGTCTCTTATTTTGATGAAAATATACTAAGTCTGTTATATGAGGGGAACCTTCAAAGCAGGATACCATTCCTACAATTAATTCTTTCTAAGACTCTGGGCCCTCACTGCTGTTTTTTATTTATATTTGCATATAAATGCATATACGCATGCATACTTCTAAACTGGAATATATTGTAACTAACTATAACACTATAATTCGTAGAAATGCTTACATTTATGGTATATATACTAAATGTACAAATGATTGAATGGGTATTCTCGATTAGTTAGAATGGATCGATTGTAAGAATGATTTTCTTTTCCGGACGAAAGCTCAGCATACTTTCACCTGAATCGAGGCAAAATGTATCGTGGACAGCCTCAATCAGAATTTGCCATCGTCTTCTAGTGGGATCGACTCTATAATCTCTTCATCACATACTTTTGCTTGAAATAAAAGTGAATTTAACTATTCGATTCTTAAACGCCGAGGCCTGTAGATAAAGCTATTCACCATAATTAATCACTTATTATTTTTTCCTATTATATTTTTTTAGTGGGCTCTGGCTACTTACAGATTTCACAAAATGCTCCTTATTAGGGTAAATTTCGCTAAATGTTGTCCAATCACGGCGTTCAGAGATACGATATTTGCTTTTTTTCTATGTTACTGCCAAGGTAGTTTATAAAAAAACAATACCCTGAATGAGAATTTCAGTGCAAAATGAAGACTTAAAATTCCTCGTTCTCAACATCGCTGCTGGTTTCACTAGACCACACTAAAAATTATGTATTTAGTGTATTTCATCTGTCATATGCAGTTTCTTTAAACCAGGCTACAGAATGATCTTAAATCGTCATATTTATTGAAGTGGGTTGACCTCGTTTTCGCAAATTGGTCTTGTTGTCAGGGAGACTTAGTAGAACGCACCTAGTCCGAAGCCGTCTGCTATAGTAGTTGTCATAATTCCCAGCACCAGGCAATGGACTAAATATATTCTCAAACGTTTCTATAAATCGAAAGGAGACTTTGATCATACCAGAGGCCACACCATCTTGGTCTTCATGTCTTCATCATATTTATTGTTACTAGACTTTGTATCAAATTAAGCTTCACTATTCCTTTTGTTTGATGGTGATCTTTAATATGGGATGCAACAGGCTTCGATTCAAATTTAATTCTTCAGTATGGAGCATTTTAAACTTCTCCTTACTGAAGCATTCGAATCAACTCTCTTTTATTACTTATAGATAAACTTTGGTACTACAAACGACTTAGATTTATTGCTTCTAGCTATATTTGAGAAACGTCGTGGAAGATGTGCAATGATGAAATTTCGCGCAAAGATAAATGAAGCAAGTGAAAAATCCAATAAACTGCTATGCTGAAAGTTTATATAGTGGACCCTTTTATACACATCGCTTCTCTATGGATATCTGCATGCTTGACTGCTTGTCCGGACAGTTATAGTCGCCCTATCTCATAACATAGATAGCCAAGTACTACTTATCCACAATATAATTGACCTAAATATGAACTCTTATTCATACTTGTTCGTCCACTCTTCCCTTACTCCCACTTTCCAGGCAGTTCATCACACCGTTCGCAGAAGCTTGATTTCGCCATTACTATACTTCAAGCTTTGCGCTTCGTGCTTTTTTATCAGAGCTCAGACATGCAGGCCTTGGTGCCATACAAGCAAACGAGTTTGAATTGGTTGCCAAACTCTGAGCATAAACAGCAACATAAGTGGTTGCAGCAGCGACAGCAACAACCTGTGGCTTGTGGTAATACCAATATTTCCTTGGGTAGCGAAATAAATGATGATAACCACCTTAGCTTTACTGGCTCAGATTCATCGTTTTCTCACTATGTCGATGCCTCTCCCTTTTCTCCTAAACTCTGCATTCGGCTAGCCTCGGCAAAAGACCTTACCGAACAAGTTTCAACTTCTTGTCTCGTTATGACGCCCAAGGATCTGGTTTCTCAGGATCCTCCAGGTTTGTCGTGTGATATCTCATTGTCCTTTTTATAGCGACTCATATTGTTTGAGTTCCGTTCTTACCTTGATTAATGTATGACTTTTCTTTTAGAGTTATTCCTTTTTAAGATTCAATGGACACAATACTTTGCTCCTGTAACCTGTCATACTGCAGTCACTGCATATTTAACCAAACTTAGAAATTAAATCTTTGAAGATTCTCACTTTTTGTTTCCTACAAGCTATCTTTATTGATTTGTATGTGTGTTATATTATACATGTTTTGTATTAAAATATATTTTATTATTATTTTATTTTATATATATCGGATGAAACTTTTGCTTCATTGTTATCCCAATTTATTAGAGCAATTTCAGTCAAGTTATCAAAGAAATTTGCTTCAAGCCAACTTTTGGTGACTACTTAAATTCTCAGTAGCCAGCCTAAACGGGCCTTCATTCTTCCCTCTTTTTGTTTTTTAGGCTTTTCTGAAGAATACGTTGATATCATCTGCAACTTCTCAAGCAAGCCCTTTACGAACAATACTAATCACTGCGTCTCCACACCAATCGTCCTAGACATGCATGATCCAGAGCTGGTGCTGCGCAGTCCTATAAATCTACTTCAGCTGCCGGAGAAACGAGTTCGAGTGGGTGGCTTGTTTGCTTAGCTGTGTGCTAGTGTGAAGTAGTAAAAGGGCGATAAGTAAAGGGATTTGATGCAAAGGTGTCATCTCGAAGGGATATATCTGTATGGTAGGTGATAGAACATCAGGGTCACCACAATCCATATATACTTTGTATGTACACTTAGGTGCTCAATAATGATCATCTCACTCCATTTTTATCATGTATCATCTCAATGCATCATCATCTCTGCTTTGTCAATCACGTGAAAACCATTTATTATAGGATGAAGGAAAGTTAGTCCTTCATTTGTAGGTTGGGACAAGAGGGCATATTGTAAATTTACCTGATTACATTTTTCGATCATTCATAGAGTACAAGTTTCCTTGTGATGAATAGAAAATTCTAGCTTTGGCAATCAAAATAATCAACTCTTTAAGTTTTTGCTTTCTATACTTAAATAAGAATGTGGTTTATCATTAAATCTAGCAAATAAAAATGAATTGACTTTCCTAAAACATATTCTTGCTTTCATTTGCGATTTATAGAGAGTGGCTCTATCTTAATATCTGACTATGAGGAATCGGAATAGATTCAGCTAAATCATTGACTCTATTAATTAAGCCGTATCAGTAATATATCTATTTGATTTTGATTTGAAGCTTCTCCATTTATGACTGTACTCCGATGTTCGCCTCTTTCCAGCAATTTAATTGTATATGTTACTTGATCATTCATTTTAAATTGAGTGGATCTAAGCGCATAAAATATTTTTTGCTATATCGGATTGTACACAATGTCGCTATTCTGATAAATATGGAATGTTTTATTTATTACAATAAGATAGCATTATGATTGAGAATGTTCGGATCGTGACATATGTCGTCTCTTTGGTATTCTAACTCGCTTTAAAGATCATGGGTCAGTGATATTATGAAATTGGGTAAGCTAGAGGAAAAAGGACTCTGAAGAGCTCTTACATAAACAATGAAATAAAAGCCTTGATTTGATGAAATACATTTATTTTGTCTGCTTCGACAATTAGGTCTACTAGATCATATTTGTGGACCGATTTGAAGTTGAAAAATTTTGCAAATTGGTATCA